CCGGAGCGCAGCGATCGCAGATTGTTCTGGGGGAGGGGAGGGCTGGGGGTTTTGTTTTGTTATTTTCTTTTTGACAGTTGATGACCAATACAAGAAGCCAGGCAGCTGTAGTATTAAAAGGTTTGTGCCTTAGGGATGACACGCAAATAAGCTGAAAACATGGTGGGTTTTATAAGGAGAAAGGCGAGGGGAAGGAAGAAATTCAAAAGCCCACGTGCCTATACAGGGTAAATAACAGTAATAATAATAATAGTAATAAAGCACACACAGCAATCCAGAAGTGCCTTAAAAGCTGGCTGCAGGAGCTCTGGGGCTTTCTGTTCCCCCCACCCTGGCAGGGTGTGCGAAAAAGGATGATGGACGTGCAGGCTTGAGGAACAGGGCATCTGAGGGTGCGGGCCATTTCTTCCAGCTGGCCTGCAGTGCAGCAGGCAGGGGCAGCTTGGAGGAGGCTGGCGAGAAGAGGGCTGAAGCTGAGGGATGCGCGGCACTGGACGCCCATTTGGAGCACTGAGGTGTGGGGCAGCTGCCGGAGTGCAGCCAGGACTGTCCCAGCCTGGCTGGGCTGCCTCTGCCCAGCTCTCCCCTGCATCGGCTGGGAGCAGGGCAGGGACCACTGCGGCTGTGGGACCAATGGACAGCATGGGACTGACAGAGCAGCAGCTTTTGAGGGAGCACAGTGAGCTCCCTCTGTCAACAGGAACAGCAGCAGTGTCTTGTACTGTATGTCACGATGTGGCGAAGCACAAATGAATAAATACCTATTGATGCGGGTATTTACTATGAACTTTCAGTGTATTTTGCTTTATTCCAGGACATTTAGCTCCTCTCCAAGTCTCTGTCTACCCAAGCTGTGCCTCATGTAATGTGAAAGCCTTTTCGTGTATACTAGCTACACTTTATTTTTGTTGCATTACTTAGATCTTTGCCATCACACAACTTTCTTATCTGGTGACAGAGACTATGCCCTTGTGCTGCAATGTTATTTTATTATTTGTGTGGGTGCATGAGCATGAGTGTGTGTTGTCTTCTTCAAATTGGCCTGTGCTGGCCACTGCCTCTTGGCCCCAAGGCAGGGGTGCCTGAAAGGGGGCACGGGCCATGGGGCTGCAGGATGCCTGCCATGGGGTGAGGGGACTCATACCTGGTGCTGCAGGACCTTTGGACTCTGGAGCTTCTGCTAGGGTGAGAGAAAAATAAACAAACAAACAAGCCCCCTTCCAGGGAGTGCTGGTCACCATGTAGAGTGTTTCTTCCTCGCTGCGTTGCTGCACAAGAATCGTCATGATGGAAGAGGAGTACAAGGTGGAGACGTGAAGTTGTTTGAAAGTATGACAGTGGGAAAGCAGCGCTGGGGGTGTGTGTATGCGTGTGTTGTGTGTATATGCAGGGTGTATGTATGGGTATGTATACATATATGTATATGCACACACATCGGTGTGTTTTTGTTTTGTTTTTGGTTTTGTTTTTTTAATTTGGGGGGGTGAACTGCATATAAAGTTTGTCGGAAGTCCTGGTTATGTTCATAAATAAACATCATATATTCTCCCATACCCCCCTGCCTCTCTGTTTGTTTCCAGTTCTCTTTCTGAGCAGGGGTGCAGAGGCTCTCCTCTTCCTCTAGACCCTGCATCCTACCTGGGCTGGTGACCCAAACGCCACCGCGGAGCGCAACTCCCCCGTTTTCGCCCCAG